ATCAATTAAAAGTCTTTAACTACTCATTATCCCTTATTTATGGTGTTTGTGGGATATAAGAGAAAGGTTATACAAAAAATAAAAAAACTACAACACTACACAAAAACACTCATACAATGCTCAAGACTCTCCTAGACATGCGCCATCCTCTGATTGACTGAAAGAGGGATAGGTCAGAAGGGCTCCAACGAGTGGTCTCTCAGTGAGTTTAATAGTGTCGAATAGGTTGAGGAGAGTTTGTAGGCGATTATTGAGATGTGGGGTTTTACGACCAATAGGGTTGTTGATGTTATCGGTGACTCATAAGTGAGTTTCATATTGCTTGAGAAAAGAGATGGAGGTGAGTGAGATAAAATTGCAAAAAGGGAGAGGTTTTGAGTTAAATGGACACAGGTAGATAAACTGAGAGTCTTGTGAGTAGGCACTTGCTTGTAGTAGAGCTTGGTGAGCTTTCATGGGAATGTTTTCTCTGGGAGGGAGAGCAAGGGATTAAGATGGTGGTCGGTAGGTGACGAGTGCTAAGTTTCTAGTCTGACAAGGAGTATCTAATATGTCCCATAAAAGGTCGAACACTTGTAAGGCTCGAGTGAGTAGCGCCTATTAGTTATAGTGGGCAAGTTCTGCTATAAGTTTCAGGAGAGTAACACCTCTCATATCGTTTGGTGAGTTTCGCTATGGGCCTCATTTGAGGGAGAGTTCCTCTATTATAACCCTCCTACTACTTGCTAAATACCTATGGGCATATGTGAGTATACATTAAGTTATTGATTCACCGATCCCTTTGATAGGTGAGTGAAAACAATGAGGTGTGAATGATAATAAAAGCGACCATCAAGCTTGACACATGAAAATAAATAAAGAGTTACTGTCCTATTTTTATTATAGCCTTGATGAACATGTTGACCTCATATTGCTGATGGTGATGTTAATTTAATTATTTTTGTCTAGGAAAAACTAAAAAATGGTAGAAAATACTAAGGAAGCTTACAACGCCGCATCATCCGATAAAATAAAACCTCAACGCCATCTTCAATACCACCGAGGCACCATAAACTAGACATCGCAGGGCTGAGTTCTCTATTTGTATGCACTATGATGAAAAGATAGCCAACACCGTAGCATTACTAGTGCCGATATCAAAAAGTCAGCTTGGCAGAGCCAGATTCTAAATTTTGCGGTGCCATAATTTTTCATGCCTTGGCACCATTTCTTCCTTTCAGACATTGCAGTGCTCAAATGTTAATAGAGCTATTGTGTTGCAGTTGTCGTTTCCAAGGGCCACATTATCTCAGTGAAGAGACGTGACTATTTATTAGGTAATCGATCCACGTTAACAAGCATCACGATGGTGAAAAAGTTTCAGCTTCGAGATGTTAGTTCACTTTAATGGAGTCGCGATGCCACTCTTTCAAATGCTATAACGCCAATGCCTTTTTGTGTTGTCCGAGAGAGAGAGAGAGAGAGAGAGAGAGAGAGAGAGAGAGATGTATTGTCATGGGAAGGGGGATGCATTGAGTTAAATGGTCATGGTGAGGCGAGCTAATGATCATGTGAGTCATCTCTTTCCTATAGCTAAGCATGGTGAGCATTGATGAGAATGGTCATTTTGGGAGAGAGCGAGTGATTGTGATAGTAGTCCAGGTACGTGATGAGTGTTGTGTTGCTAGTAAAATAAAACCTCAACGCCATCCAATCGGGGTGCATTACTTTGTATGAAATTTAAAATCTAATCAACCAAATTTTTGCTCAAAAAATTTTCTTACTCTTATGTAAAATCCAGCAAAACAAAAAATATATTTCATTTTGAATTTCAAAAAGAAGAAAAGATTTTAACACAATATGATATCTCTATGATGTTGCTACAACTAACAACATATTCCTAATTGATTTTACATTCTAATTTGACTCACAACATGTATATGCTAATAAGCACAAGCTAATTTGAAAATTCCAATCATTTTATCATATGAGATATCAAACAAAATATTTATTTTCATTATACTATAAGGAGAATCAATAAGATCTTTTAAATAGATAAAACATTGGTATGAAAAAATAAAGGATAAGAAAGGTACAATATAATTTTTTTAGGTTCAGTACTAACACCTACATCCACTTCCCAAGTTCTCATATTCAAGATTTCACTAAACCATACACCTCTTCCTTTCATTCCAAGCGGAAAGCCATTGTTCTAGCTCACTGCGAACCTAACAAATCACAAAGCAAGCTTCTTCAAGTTCTCATGAATCTCTTGCAAGACTATATCAAAAGCTTTTATAGTGGCCTCAACAATCAATCTATAGGATATATGATGTAGGAGAAAGAAAGGACAAACAATTGCACAAGAGAAAGTAGTAATCTCATAAAGTGTTTTTTTAAATCAAAGAGAAGATGATTTATTTTGACAAAAATGCCTCCATCCCACCCTTCTTGATTATATGCACTCTTTCACTTTTATAGCAAACATCTTAGAATTTGAAAATAATGTTTATAATATTTTCTAGTAGGTCAAAACCCTAATTTTATGAAAATAATAGTGTTATGTGAGATATGAATCATCTCTTATAAGTCTGTAATTTCTATAGCTCAGTTATACTAATTTAGGAAAACTAAGATATAGTATGTTAAACATTATCTAATACAATTTATTTAATATTTAAATTAATCTAATTAAGACAACTAATTAAACAATTATGCTATTGAATTAAAGTTGATCATTCGAAACAATCCACTTAATGTAGTACAATTAATTTAATTTTTAATCCAAGAAATTAAAGCAAAGTTAACTTATCTCAAATCATAAATTAAGAAAGAATGTACAATATGAATTATATCATATAGTATGATTAAATTTGAACAATTTATATAATTAAATTTTTAAAGTAAGTTTTAATTTTAGTTTTTTTAGCTTTCATGTGTATGGTTTCTCTTCCAATCATTACACCAAAACACAATACCAGAGACTCAATAAAATGAAAAATATAAGTTATGACTCATGTAGCTTCATGCATGTTGCATACTCTGTAGATTGTTTTTTTTATTTGCTTGAGTATGCCTTAATGCATGCATTACTATTCTTGAGTTATGAACAATCCTTGAGTCACATATATTTTCTTTGAAGTGTACCTAACATTATGTACTTTCTTCCTAAAATGTTAATATTAAAACACTTGGAATAAAAATGTGTTAGTAAAATGACAGATCAACCAAATTATGTTTGTAATGATCAAAATACTATAGTTGTACAATCTGCTCATGGTATCAACAATCTTCTCATTTTTAATGATAACAAACATATTTTTGGTTATATATACTTCATTTAGGGTTTTCATAACTCCACCCAATTTTATAGCCTTAAAACTATATATTAATAAGCAATATGTGCAATGACATTTATAAATAAAGGCATACAAACTTGACAAAACTTAAAAACTTTGTTATATTTTAATTATTTTTACTAGATAATTGTAAACAAATAAGAGTACATTTGTAATCAAAAGAAATAAATAAGAATATAGACAATTAAAAACAAAAGGAAAAAAATATAAATATAATATAATCACAATATTCTCCTCAATTTGTCATTACAAAAAGGATGAAAAGAAAGACTTGAAGAACAAAACTAAAATGTATAACAAATACAACAAGAAACAACAACAATAAAATCAAGCCTTTGGCCCTACTATGTTGGTTCAGCTACATGAACCCTTTTTCTCCATTGTGTTCTATTAAAAGTCAAATTCTCGTTTAAATCTAACAAAGAAAGGTCATTATTAATATTTTCTAATCAAGTCCTTTTAGGTCTACCTCTACCTTTCTTAACATAAGTCAAATCTAATACCTCAACTTTCCTAACTGGGTCATCGGAAGGCCGCCGTTTTATGTGACCAAACCATCTAAGGCGACTCTCTCTAATCTTATATTCCACGAGAGCTACACCAACATATTCAGGAATATGCTCATTTCATATCCTATCTCTAAGAGTAAAGCCACTCATCCACCCGAGCATCCTCTTCTTTGCAACACTTAACATAGTATCATGTTTCTCTTTTAATGGTCAACATTCAGCACCATAAAACATTGCAGGTCTCACCACCATCTTATTGAATTTTAGAGAATCTTTTAGGGTATATTTAGAGATGTATAAGAGTATAATTAACCTTAGTGATTATTTCCCTTTAGGAAACTTATGACTTAGGTACTCTTTTTTTCAATTATTTATAGAAATAATAATATAAAAATTTCCATGAGTGTTTTGCACAAATATGGATTTGATTGGTTGTTCTAACAACAATAAATGCCTCTCCTTGTATCTTATTGTAGAATCTTCTATGTGAGTAGAAATCCCCTCATATTACTTTCTTTTACTCAAATACTATGAATTTTTTAAGTCCAATTTTAGTAGGAAGTTCGATACAAAACAACCCAACATCCTCTAGTCCATCTAATTTGAGCGACTTCAAGCATCTAGTTTGGGTGTTATGGAGTCATTGGAATTGTTGTGATAAAGTGGGCATTTTATAATAAGTTTATATCATTTGAAAATTTTTTGATATCATAAATATCATCGGAAATATAAAAAATAATTATTCCAATCTCCTTTGAGTGCTCTAAGAATCCTGCTTTAGGCGAAAAATATTGCAAACAAATAATTATCCTATCATAATTTATTCTTTCATTTTAATCAAATTACTCTCTAACCAATCAATCATCTCAATTTGATTCAGTTTCTGAACTACTCATTTCAGTTCAATTGCTCTTTTGAATCAGAACGAATTGCAGTTGTACCACACCCAGAGCTATGGAACAAAGTAACAAATGTAGAACTAGAATTGGAACTTACAATTCTTCATGAGTGCTTAATTATTTTACATATAAACTCATTACACCATTGTTATGTAGTCTTATATGATAGTTCTTTTGATTTTTCCATCCATGCCACATATAAATTTCAATAGTTATCCCTCCTCCAAGGGCTGCATGCAGACACCAAGCAATACTTAGCCAATTTTCAATGGAGACATCTTCAGATCAAGGTCAATGTTTATCCCATTGTAAGCTATTGGTGCATACATCCACAGTTCATCTGAGCTCAAAAGCTAAAAGTACAAACAAAATTGAAAACAAACAAACAAACATTATGATCAGTTAATCATATCTCACAGTTATTGTTAAATCTTTTGTACTTAAAAGTTGCTTTAAGAAATAGTAAGAAAGCTGTCCCAAACGAAGCCAAAATTTGATAGTCCTAACTTATATGGATGGCCTGTAAAGATTACCTTGATTTGAACCTGCAGAAACTTGACATACTGAATTGCTTCTTCCAACATTGTGCTGATGTCTACCTGTTAAAAATAACACCAGAATTTCATTTATTTGGCATCAACAGATTGATAATTTCAACCAGGTAAAGAAATATGTTATTGCATATGAATTGCAATGATAAATGATCAAAATACAAAATAGTTATGTAATTAGCATATTTATCATGAGTTTTTTTCCTTTTTTTATAATTTGTGTTCTATTTCTGACAAAAAAATTTGAACTTGTTCTGGTGCAAATTTTTTATTTCAAGAACAAAATTTTCTTCCTAAAGCAAAGAACACTTACTTTGGTCCCATTTGGGATTAGATTTTGTAGTATCTTCAATCTCTCATTGATCCTCTCCCTCCTTTTCTGTATTAAACAGTTTGATTCTATTCATTAGAATTTAACTTTCAATTTAGAACTATTTTTCACTATATGGTTTATCTCAATATGAAGCAACAGTTGAAGAGATGTTCATGACCAATAAAGATGAAGACTTTTACCCTTGCATACAGGCTCTGTGGATCAGTTGCAGATCCTCTACCTGCTCTCTTCTTTCGATTTGAATTTAGAGACACCATCGATCCGTTAAAGCTCGTGCTTGTGCTCGTGTCGTCTCCTCCATTCAATTCTTGTGAAGTGTTAGCCTCATCTTCAGAGCTGTAGCAGCTCGAACTTTGCACAATATGAGCAGAAGCATTGTCCACTTCTTCTTCCCCAACTTCAACATTCACATCAGCCTTCTTGGATTTTGAACTCTTACCACTACTCTTTTCTTCCTGAACTAAGTATAAAAATCTCTCATTAGATTGAAAATCAGTTCATATAAGGAAAACAAACTGAATTATACACTTAAACAAGATTCTACACTGACCTGCCACGAGGCTCGGATTCTCTTCTTAGAAGAGCTCTGAATATTGATGGAATCAACGGCACAGTCGCAAACTTGAATCTTTCTCTTTCCTTGTGATTTCTTAATTCCTCCTATATCTTCACCATCATTCATGAAATTCTTATCATCAAAATGATGTCTTCGATCTGTCTTATACGATGCGGTGTTGATATTATCTTCTTCCATGCACAATAGTATTGGTTTCGATCTTATTCCTATTGTTGACATCATATTTGGCTCCATGTTGCTGTAGTAACCTTCATATTCTGAAATTTGTTTGTTTGAGTTGCTCAAGGAAGTAAAATTACAACTATTCTCCATAGGCCAATAGCACATATTTGTGTTGACATCTTGAAATCCATAGTAAGCATCAATTCCATGATCAGACCAAAGCAAGGATTGCATGAACATGCTTGGCTCATGTTCTAGCTCTATGGAGAAAGTAGGGATACCAAGGAATTGAGCCAACAACTCGGACTCCTCTGTCGCCATTGTTGAGTTGAAGGAGCTCCAGCTTGACTCCGACGCCACTCCCTCAAGCTCCTTGCTTGATTTTTAATAAGGAACCAGAGGACATCAAAGAAGAGGGGCTATTTCAAGTAGGAGCTTAAGGAGTTATTTATATGAACATTCCATATAATGCAGCATTAAGATAATAACTTAACCCATCTCATCATTAAAACAACTCAGCAAGTTGCTGAATTGATAATAAAATATGAAATCCTTTGCGTAGAACTAATAAAAAAATGAAAAAATATAAGAATTTGATGAGATTATTGTATTCAAATAAAACTTATGAAGTTCTTGTATCTTATGATTGATGACTATCTGCTTATTGTTAATTAGAGGATTAAGGACATTAAAAAAATTAAAATTAAGTTTAATAATCTGGCAAATGGAAGAACGAGGGGAGGATAGAATTGAGAAGGAATTTTGTTTGGAATGAAAAAAAATAAATAAAGAGTGAGAGATGAGGGGGGCCATGATTGTGGAGAGAGGTTATGATATTCTTAAGTTTTAAGCTTAATGATGACAGTAAATCTGCTAGATTAAATCACTGTCTCCTATTGGATTCTATACCAAACCTTAGTTCGATCTTGTCTTCTTACTTATTAGATTTTTTTCATGATCAAATAATCTTGAAAGATATTAGAGGAAGGGGAAGCATTTCATGATAAAAAAATTTCCTCAGTTTAAATAATTAGAGAGCAGCTATCAGTTTATAATAATACCGACCTTCGAATTCATCATTTAGCGCTTCTAGTTTCGGGTGAAAAGATGAAAAATCTGATGTATGATTAGGATAAGAAAAAAAGCTGTTAGTTATGTTCTGAAATGGGAGAAAAATAACAAAGATGTAGAAATTGCTATGTACTTTTTTGTTTAATTTGAAGCTATGATTTATGTTTGCTGCAGTTTAATTTTTAGTTTATTATAGAGGTAGAGTACGTATAACCGCTATAATTTGATCATGGACATGTTAAACTCGAGTCGTGTAACCACAAATTATAGAGGTAGAGTACGTGTAACCACAATATTATAAACGAGCCCGAGCTTGAACACCTGTCCAAAAAGCTCGTCGAGCTTCGAGCCAAGCTTGAACACGGTTTTGACAACCGAGCTCGAACATGAACAAGCTGAAGCTCGGCTCGGCTCGGTTCATTTGCAGCCCTAGTTAATTGTTATTTTTAATTGGTTATTTTACTGTCAATGAATTTAATTTCAATGTATTAGTTAATGCTAGATTATTTAGTTAGTTTTGATTAATCTGATTTTATTAAGATAGTTAGTTTAGAAATTTTGATTTTTGTTTAATGTAAGGTTAATCAATTGACCAATTTATTATTTAAGATTTCTTTGCTTAATGTAATCGATTAAGAGTTTCCATTTAACATTTATTTACCAGTTAACTTTAATTAGTTGGTAAATTAATTGTTTGGATTATCTGTCTATTTAAATTTGTTATCAAAGTAGACGCATAAATTACTTATTTAATATTACTAGATTAATGGAATTAAGCAGCCGCATGCTTTCTCAATCTCTTAAAAATTAAGTTAAATCCAAAATTTTCGAGTAAATTTTGATAGCCTCATGGCGTTCCCTCCTTGGTGCCGGGAGGTAGGGGTGTCAATATTTGACACGACACGAAAACCCGACCCGGACCCGACCTGGAAAATCCGGGTTGGACCCGACCCGATTTCAAAACGGGTCGGGTTCGGGTTCCAAAAATTGACCCGTTTAAAAAACGGGTCGGGTTCGGGTTGACCCGGCGGGTTGCGACCCGTTAAATTTAAAAAATTTCAGGTTAACCCGCCAACCGCGTCTACTGCCCGCACTGCTGCCCCCGCGAGCTGCCCCGCTGCCCCCCCGACCCGTAACCCGAAATTGACACCCCTACCGGGAGGTAAGAGAGGGCACTTGACCTATTGGCTCGATTCTGCCGGAGCGAATCAACGTCGAGGAGATTACGAGAGTGATCGATTCCATTATTTTCTGCGCTCCCTCGACCTAATTAGCTCGATGGCCAAGGGTTTCCGGGGACGTATCAACCCCGGGATTTCCTTTAATCTTCGGTTTGTTTGATTGCAATGTTTCCTGTTTCGCTTGTACATAATTATAACACTATATATAATATTATATGATTGTTATATAATCATAATTATATAATTATAATATCATATAATTGTTATATAATATTATATAATTTTTATATAACAATTGTAAAGTTTCCTCTCTACTGTTCCAAATCAAGAAACAGTAAACTTTGGCAAATAAGATAGAACATATAAAGTATGTTTATTCGTCGGACGCAGGTTATGCGTATGGTGAGGCTCACCGGTGTGAATCTGTCTTGTTTTTGACAAGCTTAACTAGGCTGGGAAATCCTCATGAAATGGTATGAAGAAAAGTATAGCAATACCACCACTGCCCTCTTTCTTAGTTAAATCTGAAAAAGCTTGCATGAAGATTAGAAATCATCTCTATTCATGTGTCATATATTTGTTTTCTCGAGGCAAAATTAAGTTAGAAATTTCAAAAAATTAAATCTGAGACCATCTGAACTCCGTTTTGAATAAACTTATAGTCGAACTGAATGTCTCGGAAATACGAACCTAAAGACACCAAATTTGACCCAATCTGAGCTCAAATAGATCCAAATATAGGCCTCGAAGCGCATATGAAAGGTTCAAACCATAATTTTTGTTACCAAACGTGGTATGCTTATAGTCGAATCGAGTGGCTCGACGGGATGAATCCAACGAGCCTAAGATCACCAAATTCTTGTTTATCTATTTGCATATATAGAAACAAATAAATACTTAGTTGACCTTTAACTGATTGATTGTTCTATCTCAATATGCATGTCTTTTGCTAAGCTAATAATATTCATGGTTCAACATGTAAACTTCAAACGCATATTGGAGTCGAAAGCTTGGCATATGATGTGAACATTGATGAACTGCCCTAAATAATTTGCACATATGAGTTTTATATGCCTTCTTTGAGTAAGAAATTTGAAATTTTATTTATTTCTTTGGTTTAGCAAATTAAATGAAGCATTAGTCTAATATGAGATCAAATTTTATTCGAACACCGGAGTGGTAATTAACTATAGGGGTTTGCGCCAATAAGAAACTTGAACTTATATCATAAAGTCCTCGCAAATGAGAGTGAAATATCTAGATAGTGTCTAATTCAAAACCCAATTTGCCTAATGAAAATTTGCCTCGAACCTACTTGTTAAAACTGTCCTCAATGATTCAAAGAAAAGAAAGGCGCCACAGAGAGGCCTGTGCGCACATTTTCGAAGCCCACGCCGCTTGATTTGACTATAAACATGCTATAGTTTAATATCATTTGGTCCATCAATTAATATTCAAAAGGTTTCAAATATAATTCAATTGCTTGATTTTAACTCATTTCAGGTTGGATTAGATCATTTGTAGTGATAATAAGTTTGTCTCATAAAGACGTTTAAATCGACTATAAGTTTGCTAAAATTAGAGTTCAGATGATCATGCATTTAATTCCAAAAAGTAATTAATAAAAGATTGTCTCGAGATTCGTATAGATCATATGAGTTTTTTTGGTGTTGTATCATTTGCCTCATATTTTCGGTCGTCAAAGCTTGTTACGTCTTAAAATATATTTTAAATCTTCAAAAATCTTTTTTTTTTTTTAATTTTTTTTTTACTTTCACCTTTTAACTTCCCCCTCTTAAACTTCCACATATTTAACTTCCACCCATTTAATTTCTACCTCTAACTTTCACATTTTTATTCTCTACATCTTTAATTTCCACCGATTTAATTTCTATCTCTATCCTAGATACACTATGTATCCCCATGTCAAGCTCTAGTGCTCCTCCTTTAGGGGTAACAAATAATTATTCAGTGTTATGTGAAAAATCTAAATCTATCAATTTCTACTTTGTTGAATATGGTTCTATATCTTAAAAGAGACTCAACCATGTCTTATATAGCCAGTGCACAATTCCCCCTTTCTACACTCAGATAAAATTCTGTCCTGAATAGACGGTGTATACCTTCTTATAAGCTCTGATGTTTTCTCATGATAGCCAAAATTAAATGTGTTAACATCATGTAATAGTTCTTGTTACAGCTGAATTTAATTCTTAATATATTTATATAACCTTTTTTTGTCTTCTTTTGCTAGCAATGGGTACCTAAACTTTATTCTTTGAACAAGCTTTGAGCAAACAAGCTCTGCCTTGAAAATCAACACTGTATGTTCAGCAGAAAATAAATTTATTCTGTAACGAACAACGAGATAACTTTGTTAAAGAAGCATCTGCATCATGGAACTCAAAAGCAGTAAATAGGTAGGTACACGCACATTTAAATATGTTCAGATAGAGAGATTTAAGAGCTTTTTAATAAGTACTTACAAGCTTATCAACTATCTGAAATAAAATAAAGCCGACGCATTTCAGACATAGATGCTGGCGTTTTTTCCGTTGTGGGATTTGAGAGAAGGGTGAACAAGAGATGGATAGCAGAAATGAGAAAGGAGAAAAATAAGACCTTTTCTATGTTGAGCATGGAGAGGCAAAATAGAATAAGAGAAATTTTGGTATAAAATGACTTGTAGTTTGTCGTTTTTAATATTAATTAAGGAATCTGAACTTAGAACTTAGTAAAACCATTTCAAGAGTGCAAGGAAGTGGTGGGGGGATGATAGTAGACTATGGAGAAATTCCATGATTCTATTGACTAGAGTTTGAACTCAAATAAATATGCCTCCCAAGAGGTGTAAATAAAAAAAGATGTTATGGTTGATTATGGCCAAACATTGATTTAAAAGTTTCATGTCATTAGTGATCTCTTCAATAACCTTGTCTTCGTAGGCTCTCTCGAGAGTGCCTCTCAGGAATTCTCTTGGGAGTCTCGCTCGTAAGTGTTGACCTCATTTGTTTTTATTATTTGCCCTCGACTGTGTTTGATCTGCTCAACCAAGTCATGACGAGTTAA